CCATCTGGTTGAGGGTCTGCCTCTCTTTCATTGATCCTCTCTTCCGTTATGCCCTCCCTCCACCTTTCCATGCATGATGTCCATTTTCAAGGAAGAGCCTTACCTACATCCAACGTCACAAAGCTTCACCATCTTTGCTTCCAAGGAGCACTCTGGCTTTGTTTTTCCAAGACGTATCTGGTCGTTCTTTTGGAAGTCTGTAGATAACTCAGTGATCTTCTCCAGCATTACAGGTCAGAGGCCTACTCTTCTGTCATCCGTATTCATTGGCCAGCTCTGATCCATAGCAGGTGATTGAAAAGACTAATTTGACTACCACTTACAGAAAGTTTATAAACAACAGATCAGAACCTTGCCCTGTCCTGTGCCATCCTCATGATCCTGCCATGTTCATGTCCACTGTCACTGCACTAAACCATCTGGTTTAAGATTGTCCTCTCTTTTTCTGACTCTGTACCCTTGCCAGCATGATGTCTGTTTCTAAGGACTTACTCCTCCTGACAACCTGCCCAGAATACGTGAGATGGAAATACCATCATCCTTCTCTAGGGAGCATCACGTTTGCACTACCTCCAAAACAGATTTCTTATTTCTTTTGTCAATCCATGGAGTGGTCAGTACTCTTTCCAACACCGCAGTTCTAGTATAATAGCAACCATTGGGTTTCTGAGGCTGTGAAATCCAGTGGAAGGAGAATGCCCATATTTCTTGCTGGAGATTTGAAAAGAACAAACTCCAGATTTTGTCGACTAAGGTGTCTCACTAGAGATGCAGCACAATTTTCAGGTACAATTATGGGAAGCCAAACTTTATACCAAATATTATATGAAAACCCTTGTTCAGGAATTGAAGGAATTACAGATTTATAAATTAGGATTTCTCTTGTGGCAGATTGAGAAAATGAGCTGTTTGTTCCCTGCAGACAGGAGACAGCAAGGGGCCCCCTACAGAGGGAGTGTTACTTCCTGAGCTAGAGTTCACCCTGAGGCATCAAGGTAATCCTTAAGGGTTTACCAAATTCTTGCATTTGTTGACCCCTCCCTCCTGAGTCAAGCAGAAGGTTTTCAATAGAAAGAGCTTGGCTTCATTTGCATTGAATTCTCTTTGTGATTTACTTCCTGATAATTTTCAATAAAGATACAGAGAAGCTTGGCTTTGGGTCTTCAGTGGAGAACTGCTGGCCCCCTGTTTTATGCTCTCTGCTCTATCTCATTCCTGGCTGTTTGTCTCATTATTCATAATTACCAAATTATTCCATTATTTGGGACCCTCTGTCTGCAACATACAATAAGAAAGATCAGCTCCAGATGACGTCTGCTGGAGAATGTGTAGTGTTTACTGACATCACTGCTGAGTCACTGGAACGTCAAGGTCCTCACACCGTGGGCCCCAGGTTGGCAGTACTAGCGTCCCAGCAAGGCGCAGCAGCTTGTTAGAAGTACGCATCCTGTGTCTATCCCAGAACTACTGCATTGTAACTTCAGGAGGTGGGTGGAGCAGGGAGAAGGAGCGGGAAGCTCTACTTTGCAAATCCCTGCAGCTGATTGATTCTGATGTACATCAGAGACTGTGACCTTCCACTTGCCTCACTGTATCTCATTGTCAGAGGAGAATGAGATGGGTTAGGTTATATTAGCCAAAGAACAAATCAATATCGGTGATGCCAAAAATACAAAGGGATGTCTGTGGCATTTATTAAAGTAGGTGATTGATTTTCCATTTAAGAAAATGTACTTACTGCCTACCCTGACCAGGCACTGCTGGGATACAAACATGAACAAGACATTCCACAAATCATTCTTGGTCTAATTCTCAAAACCCAGGGCATTACTCTTAAGTCAGTGACAAGTGGTCGTGACCCTGGAGGACCGAGGACCTGGTGGAATCGTTCCGCTGGGTCTCCCAGGTTATAGCTCTTTGTGGGAGCAGACTGCTTCCTCTTTTTCCCACCAAGTTAGTGGGTTTAAGCCACCACCTTTCTCTAGAGCACCAAGTACCCTAATAACTGCACCCCCAAGGAGCCTTCTTGTCTCGTAAGAGGGTGTTGACATTGTGATCTGCAAGAGAAATTCCACTTGCAATTTTGTTTTGTAAACAAAGATTTAGTAGAAAACAACCCCTGACTGTTCAACACACATTTCATACTGCTGCTTGCAGAAGATAGTGACACTGAGTAATTATGATGGAGATTCTGAAGTACTGACCTCTGGCCTGACCTTTACAAGGTGATGCAAGCAGGGTGTGCTGTATGCAGGGCAATGCTGGCCCCTTTCCAGACATGCGTGTATAGATTAAGGAGGCTCTGGTGGCTCTGTGCTACAATTCCCACCTGCTGTGGACAGTCTGGTGGCTCAGCCCATAGCGACATTATGGTTATTAACATTGGGGTTATTAACCCCAAAACCACTTCTCTGGCTGGCTCTAATCTCCTGCTTACTCTTTGGAAGAAGCACAGATGTTCTCCACTCATTGATTTACAGTACACGACACTGCTGCAGGCCCAGCTAGGAGGTGATTCCATTCTGTTATCAGCAGAGGTTTGGGAAACGCTGGAAACCTCAGTTCAGTTCCCAGGTGGTGCATTTCCAGTCATGCCAACACCTCCCTGTCCACACAGACTGTGCAGATGGGATGCTGGAGAGACTCAGCAGGGCATCCAGAGTGAGATGCAGTAGGAAGAAAGGCCTGGTAATCCCCTGCAGACAGCTTCTGCAACTCCCATGGTCACAGTGGTGTGACCTGCAGTCGGCGACTGGGTCGGGATGTTGTGTTGTTCTCATCTGCCAAGGACAGTCTCAATGTCAGCAAATAATGGCAGCACATTTACAAATGAGGTCGAGCTAAGGACACATGTAACGGGCAGAGGTGCGTCCAGCACCTAATAATGAGCTTGTACAGAATTTCTGCAGAAATGGAGATCCACAATGTTTGCTTCCTGGAAGGAGTAGAGAGGACTGAGGAAACACAGAGCTGTGTAGGGCTAAGTGGCATAGAGTCAGAAGAGAGCAAAGGGAGAGACAGTGTGAATAAATGTAGAAAAAGTAAAGGGGAGACATTATGAAATGTGAAAAGGAAATGTTGCTTGAGAAGAAGAATGTTATCAATCTAGAAAGTATGCCCAATGTGAAAGTTGTTGTTTTTGTTGTGTACCTCTGAGTCAGAACAGACTCTTAGCTGATCTTCCAGTGGGATTTCAGAAGCAATAAACTGCACAAGAGGAGACTGCCCGTCTTTCCCCAGCAGAACAGCTTGACTTGAACAGGTGGATTTGAACCTTATGTCTATATGAAAGTTAGAATAAAGGTGTTATTACAGGACCTGAAAAGGGAGAGGTAGGGATGCAGAGAGAAATTCCCATTTCGAGCACCTCCTGCATGGCATGAGAGTCGGCCACAGGGGCCTAACCAAGAGACAATCAGACCACCTGGGAAGCTTCTCCCAGGTGATGCAAACAGTTAAGGAGCTGGACCCCTAACTGAAGTGCCTCAGAGGAAAGGGCTGGAGAGTAGGTTGGATAAACTAGTCCTTGGAAGCCCTGTGTGGCACAGCTCCATTCTGACACACAAAGGTTTTTCTAGGCTGTAATTTCCACCTGAAGCATTATGCTGGGCTAGTAACTAAAGGTTAGTGGTTCAAATCCACTGGTGGCTTCTTTGTGAGATGTAGATGAGACAGTGTGTGTCTGATGAGATGTAAGGTCTACGTGAGTCCGGTTTGACACGATGGCAGCAAGCTGAGTGTCTGGACTTAATCTTGAAGGGCTACACCATGGCTTCTTTCTCTCGAGGCGTCTGACATGCAGTCAGTGGCCTTTGACTTACAAGCTGAGCCCGGCCGTGGTGCTGCCTACAACACGCCGTCATAGAAGGCATCACTAAGCTAAAAGCACCAAGTGTGCCACCAAGTTCCTACTTTAAAGAAAAGAGAAAGGATGAAGGAACACACACACAGGGGGGCCTGTCCCAGCTGACAATGGTTGACCATTTGTTTGGACATCACAGTTGTCAGGTGTGGTTGACTTGGATACGACTCATAGCTAACTTATAAACAACAGCTTGAAAACCTGTCCTGTCCTGTGCCATTGTCATCTCTGACATGCTTGAGCCTGTTGATGCAGTCACTGTGTCAATCCACCTGATGGTCTTCATCTCCTTCTCTGACCATCCACCTTTCCAACCACAGTGCCCCTTTCCAAGAAACAGCCCCTCCTAACAACATACTCAAATATGTGAAACAAAGTTTAGTCCTTCTTGTCTCCAAGGGGCACTCTAGGTTCATTTTCTCCAACATAGAGCTGTCTGTTGTCTGTTCTTTTGGAAGTTCAAGGACAATCCAGTACTCTTCCCCCCACCATAACTCAAAGGCATTGACTCTTCTTTTGCTAACCTTCATTGTCCATCTCTCATGTGTGTAGGAAGTTATTGAAAATACTGAATCAGGCACACCTTAGTCTTTAAACTTATACCATTGCTCCATAGTGTTTTAGAGAGGTCTTCGACAGCAGGCTTTACCAGTGTGACACGTCTTCTGATTTCTTGACTGGTAGTACAAACGGTGTTGATTGTGGATCAAAATAAAATTAAATTATTGACAACTTCAGTCTTTTCTCTATCTATTATGATGCTGCCTATTTTCCCAGTGGTGAATATTTTTGTTTTCTTAATATTGACATGTAATCTATAGTGAAAATGATAGTTTTTAATCTTCTGCAGTAAGCAGAAAGTAGAGTCATCTGCATAACAAAGATTGGTGATAAGTCTTCCTCTGATTCTGATGCCACATTCCCCTTCATAAAGTCCAGATTATTGAATGATTTGCTCAGCGTATAGATTAGATAATTACCCTCATAAATCTGATGATGAAAGCCCCAAACTCATATCCAGTGACAGATGTGTCTTCTCTTGCCTTGAGGGGTTGCTTACTATTGAAAGGTTTGGTATTGGTGTGACGATTGACTGGTTGAAAGTCCCACCATGTGACCCTCTTTCTCCTCTTCTCAGGAATTTTTCTTCAAGTGCGGAGTACACCCAACTACTGACAATGAAACATCAGTGGCCTTGAATCTGATCACAACCAATAGTCGCTACATCAGCTGCATCACGTGCACTGACACCAGGTAAGGAGCCATGACACGGTCACTGGCGGTGTCTCTGGTCTGCAGCCCTTCTCCCCTGGAAACAGTCCTCCACTTTCTCTTTCTGCGGCCCGGCCACCTTCCTCTGGATGCCATCCCAGTTCCTGTATGTGATGACACAATGGAAATACTGAACACTCAGCTTTGCTAGGAACCTGAGGGTGTTTGAACTATATGTCATTTTCAGGCAGATGACTAGAATAGTGTGTAATACCGTCATAGTGGTGGTGCCTGCGGTGGTGGTGGTGCCTGCGGTGGTGGTGGTGGTGGTATACCGTCGGGTCAGAACTGACTCATAGCCGACCATCTGGCAGATTTTCAGTGTTTGTCCATCCTTACCCCGCAGAGCAGCTGGTGGATTTGGGATTGGGATTGGCATTGGCCTTTGGGATTGCAATGCAGTTTCTTGCCACGAGGCCTCCAGAGCTCAGTATAATACTAGTTGTTATTAAAATGCAAACTCATGTGCTGGTCGCAGTGAGTTTTAACATAAAATGAGAAGATGACACTGACATCAGAAATGGAGTAACCCTTGGACATCATTTGTCCTTAAGGTGTAGGTCTGATGGTCTCATCTCTAGGAATGTTTTCGCCATTCACTTCAGTTCCTGCTAAAACTTGCCTGTGTTTATACTAGTGTGCTGCATAAATTGCATTCAAAGGGTGAAATGCAGCAGCTCGTTTGGGACCGGGTTATTTCTAAAGCCAGTAAAGAGAGTGAGAAGAATGGAAATACCGAAATTATCTATTCTAGAAAAGGAAAATGGCTTGATTTGAATTACGGTTCAGGAAGAAATGACCAACTTAAAAAAAAAAATAAAAGTATATCTATTTAATCTGTATAGCAAAATCCTCAGACAAGAATCTCTTACTGGGTGATATCCATGTGGTAAAACTAAGAGGCGTTAGCAGTATTACATGTTCTCTGTGGCTGGCTGGAGCCTCCAATTAGAACCAGAGGGTCTCAGCCCTTAATAATGGAAGAACTTTTTAGTTAAATGCCAAGATGAATTAATTAACATGAAATACTCTTTATTCTAGAATTTTAAGCAAAGGCAGGTAGACATGTCAGTCATTTTATGTGCTGTGTATTTCCCTGGATGTAGAGATTATACTAAAAGACCTTTTAAAGTATAATTTTATGATTGTTGTTGTTGTTAAGTACCATCAAGTCATAGACAACTCCTAGCAACCCTATGAACAAAAGACCTGAACACTTGTATAACTTTCATCCTTTCTCCAAGGTCATAGAATTTCCAGAGGCAAGTCATTTCGGAAGTGGATGCCACTCCTGCTTCCAAGGTTTTTAATCGGGAAGCTCCACCAAACGCTGTCCGTCATAGGGATTAGCCATACTTAAATCCTGCAAAGTAAATTGACCTCATGGCTCAACGTTTAACCAAACAGCTGACGGGCCTCTAAAGTGGCATTTGGGGCATAGTGCCTTCCTGGAATGGCTGGTATTAATATTCCTATTTGGGTATAACTGTTCGTTAACACATTTAAAATAAGATTCACTAGAGACCAAACACTTTCTTAATCTCTACCAGACAAAGCACTTTTCCAAGTAGGAATGAAAAGAAGCTGTGTTGTCCCTTTTTTCTGTTTAGTTACTGTTGTGAGAAGCAGCCCTCACGTATTGTCTGATAGATGCCCATTTCCACCTTCCTCGCCAAGGTGAAAGCCGACGCCAATGCTTTCAACACAGAAGAGCAGTTAAAATGGTGCTTCCAGCACTTCTGGGGAGAAACTGGAAATTGCTAAATAAGAAGTCTCAACTGCTAACAAAGCAACATGATAGTAAAATCAGTGTCTGGTTTGTCAAGGGAGAACTCAAAACATTGTTCTGTACGTCGGAATGCGGCCCACCAGCCGGTGTTTGCGACCTCCCATTAGAGTTGATAAAGATGACGTTAAAATATGTTGTGAAGATCGTCTCATCTCCCCGTGAATATTACCCTCTGTGCTCCCTCCTGTTCAGCTGTCTCCTTCGTATTCACGGCTCACAACATCTTCTGGAAGAAATGAGCCTCCTAAGCACATGCTATTGTTGAAGAAGAAATATCACCTATGGCAATAAGATTGTTCATATTATTGCTTGTGTGAGGTTTTTAGAAATAGAAGCCACTGTATTCCGTGACATTCAAATGTGTGTCTGTATAACAAAACATGTGATTGAAGAAGATCCCTTCTTGTTTAAGGCAGAAAACAAATCCTATATCTACAGAATGCATGAGAAGGATAGGCCGTCTCCTGTCCTGAATTTTATTCTCTCTGAAAGCATACTGGAGGGCCAGCTATGAGGTGATTCCTACTTAACAGCGAACAACAACATATATGTCGTAGACGACTCATAGTGACCCTAGGAACGAAAGACCTGAATACTTGTATAACTTTCATTGTTTCTCCAAGTTCATGCAGTTTCCAGAGGCAAGCCATTTTGGAAATGGATGCCATGCCTGCTTCCAAGCTTGTTTTAATTGGGGAGCTCCACCGAACACTGTCCACCATGGTAAACATTATCACGTTTGCCACATCAGTGTCACAGTGTTTAGCATCACAGCAACCAAGAATGTCTGACCAAAACCAATTAAAAACAGGCCTGAGGGCCTCAGATTAAAATTACTCACCTTGTTGTTGTTGTTGTTAAGTGCCATCAAGTCTAGACAACTCATAGCCTGTGAACGAAAGACCTGAACACATGAATAACTTTCGTTTCTCCACACTCATAGAGTTTCTGGAGGTATAGAGAAAACAAATCTCTGTTCATAACTTGACAAGTTTTTCATGTGGAGATGCTATAACACTGTTGGAAATTATTATTTCCCTAAACAGTATAATGTTCTTGTGTGCTTTAGGGTCCAGGAAATGACCTATATCAGACCCTCTAAAGGGTTTTCTGAGGTAGTAAATTGCACCGGAGGAGACAGACCATCTTTCTCCTGTGGAAGAGTTGGTGGATTTGAACTGTGTGCCTCTGGGATTACAGTGCAGTGTCTCACCACTAGGCCAGCAGAGCTTTGGCCTAACTAGTTGCAGAATCTTGATTATGTGTTTGGATGATGGTTGTAAAATTGGTAATAACACTGGCGATATATTTTTCTGTTTTACATTTTCTGTGTCATCCAATACAATGACAAATCTTTCCTGTCATGACACAGTCTATGAAAGAAAGCCTTTTAAAGTGTTATATCAGATTCTACCACACAGACTCAGGAAGTTGGTGGGAGTTACTGTTTAGTTGACTTCAACTCATGGGGATCTTCCTGTAATGGAGCAAACCATCTTCCTGGTGGTGGGCGGATTTTACCAATCGTTGCCTCTGTTGCATCAGTTTGTCTCTAGTTGGTTTCTCTAAGGGTTTTGTGTATGTGTGTGTGTGGGGGGGGTGGTTTTGGTTTTGTTTTACTGTTTTATGATGGTTTTCAGGGTGTTTTCTCCCCCACAGAAGAATACTATGTTTAGCCATTTTTCGGTGGTGGTGGTGGTGGTGATGGTGGTGGTGGTGGTGGTGGTGGTGATGGTGGTGATGGTGGTGGTGGTGGTGATGATTGTGGTGGT